AAAAGATGAATGCAAATCAAGTTTGACTTCTGCAATTACAAGAGGTGCTCAAAGTGGATCAGCGTCCAGACACTTCTGATTATGGTAAACTACTGCTTGAGCAACGTTGACCAAAGTGTTAACATCTCTTAAAATGTGTATACATTTTTTTGGCACCCCTGATATATACTTGTATATATGAGGTGTGATCAAACAATATGGTGAATGTTTAAATAAAAAAATACATATATATTAGAGTAAAAGACATATTGCCATTAATCCCCCCCTCAAAATACTACCACCCCATCCCCGCTTTGAACACACTTATTCCATTGTTCTTGCCACTTTCTGAAGCGGTCCTGGAAGTCTTCTTTTGTGAGTGTCTTTAGTTGCACTGTTATGGCTGCCTCAATGTCCTGAATCATTTTGACTTTGGGGAAGAGCCAGAAGTCGCACAGTGCCAGATCCGGTGAATAAGATGGATAAGGGCACACTGTAATGTTTATATTTGACAAAAATTGCCGTATACCAGAAGCAATATGCGGAGTGTTGTCATGATGGAGGGTAATTTATAGCACACTTTAAAACATACCTTCTCTCAACCATAGTTCACGCCCAACTGACTATACCAAACAAGTTGAAACTTGTCATGCACTGTTACTAAGGTTTGACGCGCTGCTTCCCTAATTGAAGATCCCTGCCTTCCCGTTGGATGGAACTCGGCAGCAGCATTCATCATATTTTGTGATCATAATGGAAAAGCTCCGTGTCACATATCACTTCTGGCATGTCAATTTCTATCAAATAAAAACATTTTGGTGTGTCCTCATCCACCTTATTCACCAGATCTGGCACTGTTCATCTTCTGGTTTTTTCCCAAAGTCAAAATGATTCAAGACATCGAGGCAGCCACAACAGCGCAACCAACTAAAGACACTTGCGAAAGCGGGCTTCCAGAACTGCTTCAGAAAGTGGCAAGAACAATGGGATAAGTGTGTTCTAAATGAGAAAAAGTTTTTAGGGGGATTAATGACAATGTGTCTTATACTGTAATACATTTTTTAAATTTAAACTTTCACCGTAATTGCTGATCATACTGAGTGTGTATGTATACACACACACACACACACACATATACTTTTTTTTAATTTAGAAAGGCGTTACCAAAGATGGCTGGGATTGCATTTCTTGCCCTGGTGGTTTAACTGCAGAAGGAAAATGCTACTGTCCCACTGGCCATATTTTAGGTAAGAAATCGATTTCTTATGAAATATTAACAAGTCTTCATTTGTGTTTGTTTTTGATAAGGATGTTAATTGAAATAGCATGGTGATTTCTTAACAGTATTTTTTTTATTCAAAATTTAATGATGTTTGAGAAGGCATTGAGAGGAGGGTAAAAAGCCCTACCTCATTAAAAATTGTTTTTCTTAATTTTTAATAATTAGGATTAGATGGATACTTCCTTAATATAACATGATAAAATATATGTGCTTCAACTTAAAAGCCAACATGATGCTTAGTAGGGAAAAATTATAAGCATTCCTTTTAATGTCAGGACCCAGATAAGGATGTAAATAATACACTTAGGTAAATGAAAGAAATAGGTCATAGAATATTAAAAAGGAGAAGGTAAAAATGATTAATTTCCAATGATTTTATTGTATTTTTAGAAAACCCAAGGAAATCAGTAAAAATTATTATTATAAATAGTAAAGGTTTCTAGATACAAAGTTAGTATCCTAAAATTAGTAGCCTTCTATTGAAACAATAATCCTTTAGAAACTGTGAAGGAGAAACTCATCTACAGTAGCAACAAAAAAAGAAAAATACGCCAAGATGTAAACTTTGGAAGAAACAAGATAAATTAATTGAAGAAATATTAGCATGCTACTGAGGGATACAGAAGGAGGCTTTAATAAATGAAATACAGTCAATGGAATTGCAATAGATATGTATGATATGGGGGGTTGTCACTTTGAGGGGTAAAAAGTATAACTAGTGCACTGTGTTGTAAACCTGAAACTAAAAAAATACATAAAAAATAAATTAAAAAAAATAAATGAAATACATATTTCATTCTTGAATGCAAAGATTAAATATTATAAAGATGTCAGTTCCCTTAATAGCAGTTTATACATTTAAAGGAACCCTAGTAAATTCTACTAGGATTTTATTTGTCTGTTTTAGGGACTGCAAAAACTAATTCTAAAGTTTATCTAGGAAAATATGTGAAAAGCCAAAAAATTATGAAAAAGGAAAGAGAAGACAACTTCATCAGATATTGTGCACATTTTCAGCTACTGTAATAACATGTATGGCTGACATATCGGTAATATGGACTGGTGGGTAAATCTTAAAGTAGAGAATCAAAATAGATCCAGTTCATGTGAGAATGTGGTATGGGATAAAAGTGGCATTTCATATCAATGGAGAAAAGGCTAATTAATAACTGGTATTTGGGAAAACACTAAGTTGTTTTTATTCCTTAAAAATAAATTCAGGTCAGTCAAATATTTAAATATTAAATATGAGTCTATGAAAGTTCATACAAAAATAGGAAAAATTTTATAGCCTTTGTGTGGAATAGAGTTAAGACAAAATTATACGCAAAGGAGTAGATGCTAGAAATGTTCAGAGGATGATAATGGACCTAGATGGGTAAAGAAATATGGGTTGGGGAAAAGGGAAAAGTCAAAGCTATCTCTGGGATTTCTAAATGGGGGTGAACGAGATGATGGCCTATAGGTTCAAATGCTGTGGAGAGGTCCATTGGGCTGAGTCACTGCGATTACTTTTGACAGTCAAAAATCGCTGAGGCTAAATGTACAGTTTTAGCAAGTTGCTGAGAATGAAGGTTAGATGCCATGGGTTCTAAACAGTGACTCTAATACCTAGTGACCCCTTAAGGCTGGGTGATAGCTCTGAAAACAGTATTTCACTATTTTAGAGGCTACTGTTGCATACTTAAAATTCTGCATGGTGTAAGCTTTTTAGAGCCAACTTGAACTTTTGCTGTTAATTTCTTCATGGATTTGCAAGAGATGTTGTGGAGGAGTGGAAGAGTGGACAGAAAGAGGGTACATCTTACTTCTTGCATAGCTTCTCCCAACTCTTCCCATTTCTATATAAGAAGAAAATGCCCAAGTGATCAGATAAATAATTTTTAAATTTATTAACTCAGTAAGTACATACCATTAAAATTATCAAATAATTCATGAAGCTATAAAATGAGAATGAACATTGATACCCCTCACTTATTTCATTTCCCAGAACTTACCTTAAGGTAATTAATTATTCTCTATCCTTTCAAGGTTTATATGTATATAAATTTACACACACACACACACACACACACACACACACACACACACACACACAAATATTTTGGAGTGTTTATATGCAGTTGCAGTGTATTTTGGAGATAGTTCCACAAGAGCACATGTGGATCTACCACTTAAGAATACATATATCTGTATTTTTCAACTTCCACTTAAAAATTTTACTTTATAAAATTAAAGTAATGCATGCATATGGTTAGAAATTTAAATAGTATAGAAAAATACAAAATAAAACTAAGGGTTGTTTCCTGTCTATCCTTACTCCCAGTCCTCAAATGTAACCAACTATTAAGTTTCTTTTATATTCTTCCAGGAATGCTTTATGTATTTATATGTCTATATATCCTTGAAAATATTCATAGAAGTGTCATTATACTTATTCATTTATTCATAAATATTTGTCGATAAAAAGCTAAAATGAATTTTAAAACTTTATTCAACCGAAGAACGTTAAAGCTAAAGGGCAGTAGCTAGCCCCAGTTCAGCTCCAGCAGACTGTCATCATGTAAGAACATGGATCCCATGAAACCAGATTTTCCTATTTTTTTAAGAGATGCCAGAAATACAAAATTTATATGTGAAACCTCCCAATTTTAAATCTTGCTAATTAAAAAGGAAGTTTATTGAGCACTACCTGCTAGGTGCTGGGATAAAATAATGAATCAAACTTACATTCTAGTGGCAAGAGAAAGAGAGTAAACAAATGAATAGGTATATGCCAGGTGGTAATAAGTGCTATGAAGACAAATAAGACTGGGCAAGAGAGAGAGCACAGGGTGTTATTTTTACATGCATGATCATGGAAGGCCTGTCTGGAAAGGTAACATCTGTGCAAAGACTTGAAGGAAGTGAGGGACAGAGCCACATAGATAATGGGAACTCATTCAGAGGGAATGAGGGAATAGCAAGTGCAAAGGTCCTAAGATCAGAACATACTCAGTATGTTCAAGGATCACCAATACACTAATGTGGCCGACCACAGGAGAAAAGCGGAAGCAGTTGGGTCTGAAAAGTTGAGGTAAGGTGTGCAGATCATGTCAGGCCTTTTAGTGACCTTGGAAATTAACCTGTGTGAGGTGGAATAGTTTCAGAGGAGTGAAATGATCGCAGTTAGTTTTTAAAAGGCTCTTTCTAGAATAGAACTAGGGTTCCAGTTAGGAAGCTGTCACAAAAGTCCAGGTGATAAATGATGGCACTGGGCCAGGGGAATAGTTGTAGAAGTAGAAAATAATTCAGCTTCTGGATATATTTTAAAGAGAGAGCTGACAGGATTTGCAGATTTATTTTCTAATTTTAATTTTGTTTTTTTAATGCGAAACATGAAAAGAAGAGACTCTATAAGTACTGGGGCCTAAGTACATGGTCAAATGGAGTTACATTTACTGAGACAGGATGAGTGTAGGAGGAACAAGTTGTTCAACTTTACTTTTGTTAAAATTGTTTTTACCACCTTGTAAAAGCTTGGGACTAATGGGACTGTTTTTCCCAATGCTGATTCTCTATTACTCCCTCTGCCCCAAAGTAATTGTTATCATTTTGATGTGTATGTGTCCTTCTAGAATCTTTTTTTCTTTCTGTTTTTAAAATACAGGTATATATTGTAGCCATGGGAAATATAAATGGTATTTTTATATAAATATTTCTTACCAAAAATATTGTTTTATAGCATACTTTTTTCACTTAACAGTGTGATCTGTTAGATCCACGTCATTTTTTAAAATCCTCCCCATAATATTTCATAGCATGGATATGCCACCATTTTGCTTTTAAATATTTAGGTTCTAACAAATAATGCTTCGATGAATATCCCTATACACAGGTACAAGTGTTTTTGTAGGTTAGGTATCTAAAAATGAAATTGTGGTATTGTAGGGTATGTGAATTTAAAATTTTAATAGATACTACTGAAGCCCTCTAAGTTGCAAAAACTTATCAATAGTCTATGACAGGGATCAGCAAACTTGTGAGACAGAAGAGCCACCCGGGGTCAGCAAACTGCAGCTCGCAAGTCACATGTTTCTCTTTGGGTACGGACATGTGGCTCTGAAGTAAAATTGAAAATGAAAATAAAACTATCATAGTTTCATTTATAAAATTTGTAAAGGATATTATTCACATAATGGTGATTATGTAACAATATATTTATGGCTCTAGAATAATTTTAAATTGTTGTGAGGGACAGGATTGGCTCTTCCAGGGGTCGGCAAACTTTTGAGATGGAACGTACCCAAAGAATCGCATGTGGCTCATGAGCTGCAGTTTACTGACCCCTGGTCTATGAAAATGCCTGTTTCCCCATACCCAGTGAAACAGGGACATACAAGTAAGAGGTAAGAACATTTTTGGAAAAAAATATTGTTATGATGCTTTGGAAAATTAGTCTCTCTTTTTTTCATGTGAATGAGAAAGGTTTCACTTTTCTGTATTATGGAGGTGCTTAACATTCCTTTTATTCAAATAAGGTGTTTTGACAACTATTAGAATAATTACAAGTGGGTTTTACTAAATACATACAAGCTTATATGTTGACTGTGAGTTACATCTTAATTTTGTTTCTAAATTGTTTAGTGGAACGAGATATTAATGGAACGTTGTTGTCTCAAGCAACTTGTAAGCCCTGTGATGAAAATGAAAACTCTTTTACGGTAGCAAATGCTTTAGGAAACAGGTAAGTAGTGTGCTGGGTGCTGACTTCATTGATATCATATTTATATAGAATCTGTACCTTTTTAAAGTATTTTCCACTTGCTCCTCACAATAACCCAAGGAAGGACAGAAGTAGACGTTAACTAACAGCTAAAGAAGCTGAGGCCCAGAGAATAAGACGGACTAGGGTTCAAATGTTGTTTCAGTGTCTTACCAGTTGCTAACTTTGGATAGTTTAATAAGTCAGTGTCCTTGTCTTTAGAATGGGGATATACTACCCACTTCATAGGCTGTTATTACAGCTTAGAAGTAAATATGTTAAATTTTTAGCATAGTGCTACAGAGAAAGTGCTCAGTAAAAGGTAGATATTTTTGTTTGCTATTATATAATTTATACGTAATCTGCAATATAATACATAGTACATAATGGTGACTTCTATTTGCAGCATACTTACTATATACCAGGTACTGTGCTTTATAGATTACATTACATAATAGGATATATTAATAAATACAATTAATAAATACAAAAAATTAATAAATAAAAATTAATAAATACAATTATTTAGGTACTCTGATTTATGGCCCTATTCTCTATCACTTCCTGTTCTGCCTCTATACATGCATATGTGCACACCACACACACACCCCTTCCTCTCTGTAACTCAAACACATTATTCCTATTCGAACTTCTTCAGTTGTGGAGGCTACATGATGACTTCCCTCTAAGCACAGTTTTCTCTTCAATTTTCAAGTTTAAGATAGAAAATACTTGAGCAGCGTCTCCTGGGGATACTTTGTGTTGGACCATCTTTTCTCTCAGGATGACCTGGATTGTAACACCCAAATATGGACTACTGGACTGGTCTCCAAGCCTTCACCTCCAGTACCTCCCAAAGCCTAATTCGAGTTCTGTGCCATGCCCCGGCCCCTCCTTCTACCTGCTCTATCTTGCAAATAACGAATGCGCATATGAACCAATCAGTGTCCCTAATTAGTCCAGTCCCCGCCTTCCCTCTATTATCATTCATTAATGAAACATATAAAGTATTTTCCTAAAATAAACAGATGATAAATAACTTTAAAAGTGTTGGTTGTAGATTTGATGAGAAGTAGAACATGTTTCTTTTCAGCATATGTTATCTCTTTGCTTTGTTGCAGATAAAATAAGGAAAGTATATTTGCTATAACTACTTATAAAAATAGATTGGGTTTCATTTATATGAGTTTGTTGAGCTCTTTTGTTAATTGAGTGACTTAACCATTTTTGCTATTCATTCTTTTTTTTCTTTACATTCCATGTGGGAAGGTATTCAAAAGAATACTCTCCTATTATTGGTTAATTTTATTTATTTATACCTTTCCTTGTAATACTAAAAGTGGATAAAACTACTCAAATCAGTGTTAATATTTTTAATTTGTTTTCTTTATTTTAAGTAATTGCTAAATTGAATGAATCTATTCTAAACTAGTGTTTAGGAAAACAAGTTCCCAATTAAATTAGGTTTAGTATAAATCATTAACATTGAAAAAATTATTTTCATTATATTGACAGGTGTATCCGTTGTGAGCCAACATTCATTAGTACCAGCAGGTCCTGTGCGTGTTCAGAACCTAACATTTTAGTAAGGCTAATCAAATTAATAAAGTATATATTTTAAAATTAAATTGCTTATACTGTTCCATAATCTGTTTTATTTATTTGTTTGTTTGTTTATTAAGACAGGGGGATTATGTTTCAGCAGCACAGGGGATTTCCCTCCACGTGTGATATCAACTGCACGTTATGGAGCACTTGTGAGTGTGTTTAAATTTTTTGTTTCATTGTTAAGGATATTTCTGCATTTCTTTGGTAATTAATCTGGGACTAAAATGAGAAACATTTATGTGTAAATCACTTTAAAACAGAAATTGTCAGTCTAAGAAACATTAGACTAACAACTCAACATTATAATTTAAAAGTTCAGTACTGTTTTCTCCACTTAGCTCAGAATGCTTAAGCTGGAAAGGTCCCTTATAGATCCTATCAAGAATGCAGTATAATATATTAATAGTTAAGAGTACCAGAGACTCTGGATTTCAACCCTGGATTTACCAGTCGTTAGTTTTGTATCTTTGGACTTAGTTAACATTTCTAAACTTCAGTTTTATTGTCTGTAAATTGGGCATAATAATAATACCTACCTCACAGTGTCTGTACATGGTAGTCACCGGAGAAATGAGGATTATTCGTATGCAGCCAAGTTCCTTATTTATAGATGAGAACATGGTGTCATGGAGTTAGAGCCTTTGCAACAGATGCTGGTGATGACAACCTCTGGAATATAAAATGAGAAATAAGTGGATGAATTAGAACCGAAGAGGTCACGAATCCAAGAGAATAGGAGTTAGACGACTGACTAGGAGTTAGTTGATAAGCATTGAGGATACTCAGTATGCCAGCAGAGCTTGGGGTGGACAGCTTGGGGTGATTGCTAAAATCATTGACTCGGTGGAAGCTATTAGGAGGTCTGTGAGGATAGCCATGATGAGGGTAGAATCTGGGGTCGTGATGAACAAAGCAGAAATTCTCTCCAGTATAGTCTTGTGGGATGACAGGTAAATTCCAAGTATTTGCTAAACAACAGAATAAATGCTAAAATAGGGGTATACATAGGAAGCTTGCCATCATAAAAATTGGTTCATTTGTATGTAACAAGATGCATATCTTTTGAGGCGTTCTTTTTTTTTCTTTTAATTATTTTTTATTATGAAATACACATTTTTTAGAATTAGTTTCAGCTGTACAACACAGTGCAATAGTTATACTTTTTACGCCTCCAAGTGACAACCC